TAAACATGATATGACTGACAAGGTAAATTAAATTTTATTTTTTTATTTAATGTAATTGACAAATCATCATTGTGTGTATTTGTGGATTACCCTGCAGTGTTTTAATACACAGTATGTACAAACATGGCATGATCAAAACAAGCTGATTAACACATCCATTATTTGTTTTTTGTGGTATTTGAAATTTTCGCTAAGCAGTCTTCAAATACATAATTCCCATTAACTGAAGTTGCCATGCCATGTAGCAGATTTCAGCAATTTGTTTTTTCCTGTCTAGCAGGAAACCTCTACCTTTTGGACAGCACCTCCCTATGCCTGGCCTGTTCTCCCCATCTCTAGTAACCCTGTGCTGCTCTCTGCTTCTGTCAGGTTGACTGTTTTAGATTCTGCATATAACTGGGATCATACAGTGTTTATTTGTCTATTTTTTTTTTTTTTGCTTGCTGGTTTATTTTACTCAGCATAAGGAACTCCAGATTCATCCATATTGTCACAAATAGCAGAATATCCTTTTGAAAAGGCTACTCTGTGTGTGTGTGTGTGTGTGTGTGTGTGTGTGTATACCATTCATCTATGCAGCAGAGTTGAGTTGACTTCATATCTAGGCTATTGTGAATAATGCTGTAAGGACCATGGGGATGCAGGTATTTCTTTGGCATATTGATTTTAATTTCTGTGCATATATTCCCACTGGTGTATTATATGGTCAGTTTATTATTAGTGTTTTGAGGAGCCATACCATTTTCCATGATGATATAACAATTTGCATCCTAGTGACACTTGAGCTGTCACCGTTATGTTGTTTTTTAGCCATCTTATCATGCATAAGATGTTATCCTGTGATGGTTTTGATTAGCATTTCCCTGCTTTTGATGTACTGTACTTGTCACTGTCTTCTTCTGAGGGAATATTCTTGTCCTTTTCTCATGTTTTAATTGGATTGTCTTCTTATTTTCCAGTTATTTGTTTTTTTTAAGTGTTTTGAGTAGTAGCCTCCTATTGGATGTATACTTTGAAAATATTTCTTCCCACTGTTTAGTCTTAACTTTTCCTTTGCTGTGCAGAAGCTTTTTAGTTTGACATAATATCAGTTTTACTTTGTTGGCTGTAATTTCAGGGTCATATTAAAAAATAATTTTCTAGAGTAGTGTTGTGAACCTTCTCGGTGTTTTTTCCTTGCTATTGTATTTTACATTTTCCAGGTCTTTAATCCATTTTGAATTTATTTTTATATAAGGCATGAGATAAAGATTGCTTCATTTTCCACAGACAGATACTCAGTTTTTCTAGCACCATTCTTTTGGTTGGTGTTGTAGATGAGATTATTTTCTTAATATTTGTGGAAAATATTAATGTGTGGAAACACTGCTGATTTTTGTATGTTAATTTTATATCTAGAAACTTTACTAAATTTTTTATTAGGCCTAATAGTTTTCCCATGGACTATTTAAGTTTCTTCCGTATACAACATCATTCAGTAACAGACAGATGGTTTTATTTCTTTCTCTCACCTAAACATTCTAGTATTTACAGTACTGTGTTGAAAAGCAGTGAGAGTAGACATCTTGGTTTACCCTCTATCTCAGAGAGAAGCTTTGAAGTTTTTACCATTCATTTTGTTATTATTAATGCTATGGGCTTGTTACAGCCTTCCTGTGCTCAGATATATTTCTTGTATAGCTTATTTGCTGAAACTTTTATCATGAAAAGGCTTTGAGTTTTATCCAGTGCTTTTCCTGCCCCTATTGAGATAATCAAATTGTTTTTGCCTTTGCTCTGTTAATGCAGTACGTCACATTTATTTTGCTGATGTATATAGAACTGTGCTTGCATCCCTGGAGTAAATGTCATTTGGTCATGTTCTAGATTCAATTTTTGAATATTTTGTTGAGGATTTTTGCATCTGTGTTTATGAAGGATATTGAAGTAATTTTCTTCTATTCTGGCTTTTGTATTGGGGTAATGCTGGCCTCATAAAATAAATTTGGAAGAATTCCTTCTTCAGCTTTCTGGAAGAGTTTCAGAATGACTGGTATTAGTTTTTCTCTATAAACGATTAGTAGCATCCACTAGTGAAGGAATCAAGTCATAGGTTTTTCTTTATAGATTGAGTCTATTTATTTAGATCCTTGGTTTCTTCACGATTCAGTCTTGGTAGTGGTTTCTTCTGGGTTACCGAGTCCATTGTTGTATAATTGTTCATAGTAGTTTTTTATATATAATCTTTTGCTTCTGTGGTATCATTTGAATTCTTTGTCTAGTAATTCATAAATATGCATTCCTTGAGTTGTGAGTTCCTGGTACTTTTTGCTTTGTTCCTTTGTTGGTGCCATGTTTCTCTGTTTGTTCTCAATCCTTCTGGCTATGGATTTGTGTTTGCATATTTCAAGAAGCAGGGATTTACAGTCTTTGCAAACTGGCTTTATGTAGGAATGAGCCTTCTGGCTCATCTGTCCATTTTGAGAAACTCAGATCACACTGTCTGTGAGCTGTTTTGCTGCTGGAGTCACTGGACAGGGTGATCCGATACCTTGGGTCAGCCCATGTAAAAACTGGACCCACGGTGGTGGACCTTCAGGTCAGAAGTGCATCAGTTGTTCTAGAACCTATAACAACACAAGCTTCCCTGAAGATGATGTAGAACTGGATGACTGAGCTTGAGTACAGGCTATTGCCCAGGGCTAAGATAGTCTTGGTTCCTGAGTCCACATGGGGCTAATCTGTCAGTTGGTTGGGCCTGCAGCTTTAGTCAGGGCATTGGGCAGGTCCCTAGGGTTGGCCTGAAGTTGCAAGTGACACTGGTGGTCCTAGAGGACTGACGGGGAACTTATGGCATGCGTTCCATGGCAGGCATGCAGAACCCTCTCTCAGTGTGTGAGCCAAGTGTATGAGTTGTTTTTTCTAAACTGAAACATCAGTGTTTGGGTTTAATTACAGTGTTGGGACTTTGCCACAAATATTTAAGTTTTGGGTTGCAGCTTGGACACTTGGTTTCTATAAGGTTCACCATCACTGTCCTAGAGCCTCAGTGTGTGGGGTCCTCCCTAGCATCAGGGGTTAATAGGGCAGGACTGGATTTTGTGTCCACTGGAACAGGCCTGGAACCTGGGCCCACTAAAGTGGACTTGGAACAGGAACAAACATAGACTCTGGATTTGTGGGGATCAGTCTGACATCTGCGATCATAAGTGCTCCTCTTGTACCTGAAACCATAGTGACTAAGCTAGAGTCTGGTGCTAAAGGTACTGACCAGGAGTCAGAATCCACAAAGTCTGTTTGATTCCTGGTTTAAAAAAAAATCCACAAAGTCTGGCTTAGAGTCTGGCTTAGAGTCAGGTACTGGCCTGGTGGCTAGGTCCATAAGGTTTGACTTAGGTCCTGGCTGCACGGCAGCCAGCTCAGAGTGTTCCTGTTGCTCTGCTGGAGCAAGCTGAGGGTCTGGGGCTACTTAGACTGGCCTGGAAGGTGGGGCTGTGGCTGCCTGGTACTTGGTTTGATGAGGATGGGGCTGGTAATAGAATATGCTCTTGATGACTTTGCTTTCCTTCCCCCAAGCAGAGGATTTTTCTCAATTCTGTGTTGCTTGGAGTTGAAGGAGAAGTGATGTAAGTGATGTAAAAGTGTTTCTCCTACCCTCTTTGATGTGTCTTTTCTTCTAATAAGTCTCAAATAGGGCAGACAGAGGATATGCCCAAATATAGATAAAAATACAAATGACCAATAAATCAAAACCACATTTGACGAAGCCTGGGAGAAACAAGTATACATAAAATTTAAGGGTAAATTGATGTAGCATTTCTAGTGGGTTTTACCAGTATATGTCCAAAAAATAATTTCTTAGGAATTTCTTCAAAAATAATAGATAAGAGAGCAAAGATGGTTACAGAGGGAGATGAGCCAGATAATTGCTTTTATCTAATAGCTTTGAAATCAGAAAAAAGCAGATGACATTAGGGTGAAATTTGAAATGATGCTGTAGGTTCTATAGGAACAAGTAACTTTAAATAAAAATGTCTTACTTGTAGGGATCATATAAAGATATGTACAGACCATTTTGTTTCATGAGTTCTCCAGATCAGGAATTAGACTAATTTGCAATTGGAATAATTGCAAAAATTATTCCAGTGAATGCACAGGGTGCTCTGTGGAGGACTGAATCCAGGCTCACTGTGGTCCACAACCAGGGTGATACTGACAGCCACAAAGAGACCAAGGAACAATAGAGTGAGAGCCACTACCTGACAGACTCATTTTCTGGAGCTGTCCCCAGTAGGAGTTACCAAGAGAAATCAATTCCTAAAATAACTACAATTAATTCTGAGTCTTAGCTCTGATGAACTATGGTTTCTAAAGTAGGGAGTGTAGGATCTCATTTGATTGCATCTAGGTTTATTCTATATTAAGGAAAAAACCCAACAGTAATACCCATACTTTTATGGATGGCATGGTGGCACATGCCTGTAATCCCAGCACTCAGCAGGTTGACTCCTGAGGATTGCTGTGAGTTTAAGGCCAGCCTGGGCTACACAGTGAGTCAAGGCCAGTCAGAGCTATATAGCAAGACCTTGTCTCAAAACAAACAAGCAAATTCCGCATTTTTAAACCTTTGTTCAAACTCAAATCTATATTAAACATAAGTCAATCTTAGCTTTACCAGCTGCCTCAAGGGAAACATTATTTTTTATCCAAAGTAATACTTTGATCTATTGGGGTTTTTTTGTTTTGTTTTGTTTTTTGTTTTTGTTTTTTGGCTTTTGGTAGTACTGGGAATTGAACCCAGAACCTTCACACTGAATTAGAGCCACAGCCTTTTTATTATTATGTAGTTTGAGACAGGGTCTCCTAAACCACAGCATTAAGATCCTGATTGTTGCTTGTATCTGGAGTTTTCTGTTCTAGACCAATGTGACAAATAGCAAATATTTTTATATTCACTGTATAGAAGGACCTCCATTCTCACCAGAATCTTTTGACCGAATTCTTCTTGATGCACCCTGCAGTGGAATGGGACAGAGACCAAATATGGCTTGTACTTGGACTTTGAAGGAAGTGATGTCATATCAGCCACTACAGCGAAAACTCTTTTCTGTGGTATGTGATGATCTTTTGCTGTGAAGGATGTTGACCTTGGGTAGTTTGAAGTTTAAGCCACTGGGGGCAGTGTTCAGAGTAATGTTATTCACAGTAGCCAAAAGGTGGAAACAACCCACAAATCCATTAACAGAGAAATGAATAAACATATCCATACATGGAAGATTATTCACCCTTAAAAAGAGGTGAAATTCTGACATAGGCTCTAATGTGGATGAACGTTGAAGCATCAAATAAGCCAGACATAAAAGGAAAAATGTTGTATGATTCCACTTATATAAGGCCCCTAGAATGACAAATTCATAGGAAGTAAGCTAGAGGTCACTAGCGAGTAAGGGATGGGGAATGGAGATTAGGGGGTTCCTGGTGTGGTTACAGAGTTTCTGTCTGAGGTGAGTTTCTGTTAGAGATGACGAACAGTTCTGGAGACATGTAGAAGTGATAGCTGCACAATGCACTTAATGCCTTTTGAATTACACACTTAAAATGGTTAACATGATGTTCTATGTTATGTATATTTTATTTCACACAAAAGACTGAGAATGCCTAATTTAAATACAGAGAGTTTTCCTTTGTGTCAACTCACCCTTTTTGTATTTTACTTACTTTTTAGTACTAAGGCTTAAACCTAGGGCCTTTGCACTGAGCTCCATCCCAGCACTGTGTAAATTTGTAACTTTGAGACAGGATCTCATTAAGTCACTTAAGTTGTGCAGGCTGGGTTTGCATTTGCATATCTCCTACCTCAGCCTCCCAGAGTGATGGGCTTATAGGTATGTGGAACCCAGTAGTGTACCCTTTCAAATACAAGACGACGATGGTGGAATTTCTTCCTGAATTATGTAATGAATTTCAAACATTGTGGTCTCTTTTTAAAAAGGTGAATGGTTCACACAGTTACTAACTGACATAAAGAATTGATGCAAAATTAATTGTTTTTTTATTGGGCTCCTGAGTCAGCTGATGACATTAAATGTAGAAAGTCAATGAGATGCAAAAGATTACAGTAGTGAATAGCAGCATCCAGTAAAAGGGCCATAAAAATTTTGACAATTAACTGATTTGCAGTGTGTGTTAGAAAAAAACCAGATAAAACACTCTATTTCTATGATTTCACTGAGTATAGACACCCTTTGATCAAAGATGAATTCATTATTTCTTCTTAGCCCTTCAATTATAAATATGTAGACGAGCACAACAATGGATGTACTGTAATTATTTTGTCTCTTAAGTTGTCCTTGCGTACATTTCTATGCATCTCTCCTTTCCAAGTTCACAAAAGTAGCCACTCCTTGTGGATTGTGTAATATTTTTTCTGTAGTAGTCAGAAAATACATAGAGTTAGAACAGCAGGCAGCAAACAGGAAGTTTTACATACACCTGCAAGCCACCTGGATTTAAGAGTGAAATTAAGATCCCAGTTTAAGGGACTTGGGTTTTGTTCTTTTTTAGGGTATAGCAGAGAAGGAAATTTTAAAAGATTCTAGAGATAGATTTATGATTTCAATAAAAAGGAATATCTGACCTGTGAGAAACAACATGAATATAGCAGGTGTGCCACTGGATGAATACAAGTTGAAATGGAATGTGCATTATTTAGTTGGACACATCTTGATTTGAGCCATGGCTTCTTCACCTAAGTGACTTTAGTTATGCTGATTTCAAATTCAGAGAAATGAGCATAAGGACTCAACCTAATAGGAACTGCACTGCAAATAGTAATCTTACCTCATGGTTGTTACAAGACTATCAATGAAAAGTATTTAATAAACAAATTTATACAAATAAATAATAACAAAGTTTAAATTTCTCTAGTGTGAAGAAACCACAAACATTTATGCTAAATTTTAAAAATAAAATATAGGTATTTGAGACAAATTCATGCTAGTTTAGCACTTTATTTGCTGATTTATTTGCTTGACACCGAGCGCCTGCTGTATGCAAGACATCACGCTATGATCGGTGTCAATAACACAGAAGTAAAAAAGTCGACAAACGATTCATACCCCTGTTTTCTGAGTTTTCCATCTCGGGTTGTCGGGGACAGTGAACAAGTGAGTGAGTTGTTCAGATTATGACAGGCCCTGAGCTAGGAGCCTGCGGAGAGAACCAAAGCAAGGCAAGTGCGGTAGCAGTGCTGGACTGTAGTATTTGGGATGTCACACAGGGTGGTCAGGAGGAAGGCTGCTGTAAGGGGACATGGAGCAAAGGTGACCTGCGAAAGGAGTACGCAGTGTGGGGAAGGAGTGTCCCAGAGTTCCAGCCGGGCGAAAGATCCCGAGGTGGGGCGAGCCTTGCCGAGTTCCAGAGACAGCCGGAGGCCAGTGGCTCTAAAGCAGGACACGAGGTACTGTAGAGGAAGCCGGCGGGCAGGCCTCCGGAGGACTTGCAGCCTCTCTAAAGACTTTTGGCTTTGACGCTGGGTGGCAGTGGAAGGGCACTGGAAGGGTGTCAGGCTAAGAGGTGACCAGTGGGACGCTGCGCTGCACTCTGGCTTTGGATTGAGAATAAGTGGTCAGAAGACAGGAGGGAAGCAATAAACTAAGTAGGAGACTGTGTGAGTCCTCTAAGAAATGAGGAGGGCTGCACCAGAGTCCTGGTGGAGGCTGGGAGAGAACCTACAGGATTTGGGGACGCGTGGCGAGTGTGAGAGGCATGAAGTAGAATCTGGGCTGGCGCTGCCCACCTCGGAAGGATGGGAAGACTTCCACGATAGGTTTCGGAAGCCGCTTCAGACAGCGGCTCATTTTGGGACATGAAGTGTTGAGGAGGCAGCTGGATATGAGTGTGGAATTCAGAAAGAAGGCGTGGCCTAGCAATGTGAACTTCCTAATTTTTGAAATAAGGTTGCTGTCTGAGTGGATGAAACTCTGGTGTTTGAGAATCCTGGTCCAAGTGAAGCACGAGAGCGCTAAGGCGGGAAATGCAGCTGATCTGGGATGCAAGGATTGTGCTCTGCTTACTTACCATGGAGAATGTCGTTCTTCGTTTTATTTCTCAGCTACTTGTAGGTGTCACCCTTTATGCTGTAAAGTCCCTTCACTTACGTGGCCTTGTGGTGTACAGGACTGACTTAGTTCTCTCTAGGCAGCCCAGCTGCTGAAGCCAGGAGGCATGCTCGTTTATAGCACGTGCACTATCACCCTGGCAGAAAATGAAGAGCAGGTTGCCTGGGCCCTCAGCACATTTCCTTGCCTCCAGCTTCAGCCCCAGGTAAGAGTGGTTTCAGTTTTTCTCTGTGCAGGGTGACAAATCACAGAAGTGGAAGTGTGGTGATAGGCGCTGGGTGTTACATGCTGAAATATGTGAAGTAAAACTTATGAAACAAATACCTTAGTAAACAAGAACATTTCTCCTTTTAGATCACTTTTAGATGGCCACAGCGATTTTGCATGTTGGCGACAGACTGTTTTCCCCTTATGTTTTGCCATTATGCTGAAATGACACAAAACTTGGGTGATTTTTGTTACGTGTTTATTGTACTAATAGCTGTCTTTCATGGGACTTGGCACTTGGGTTTCAAAGTTGTTTTTCCTCATTTCTAATCCCATATTTTTCTCCTAAGAATATATATCAAGTATTTTTGTCTCAGGTCACATCTAAGCCCAAACATACTTCACTAACTGGAATATCCAAAGACCAAAAAGGGCTGTGGAGAAGGGGAATATTGAGGATTATTGCTTTTTTATAATTTGTTATATAAAAACCTAAGCTTTAAGCTTTCTTGTACTTGGCACTAATCTAATTTTATGATTCCGAAGACTACTTATGATTCAAATTTAAGCCATAGAAATAAGTAATCCAGAAATGGTTTCTAGACTCAGAAGCCCTAGATGAAGGGAAGACTTCAGAATTCACTTAGAATTCGTACTGAAATGTCAATCTGTATTCTTAAGTACATATCTGAAAACTTATCTTTATTAATACATAAACGTGTGGCTGTGAGTGATGACTCAAGTTAGTTATGGATCTTTTGTACTTGTGCCTTGCAAGGACCACTGAATTTGTTTGGATTCCTTATAACTCAAAGCTAATGGATATAGCCTTAATTTATTGATCCTTTACTAATACGTGTTCTCCAAGGACATGTAAAACCAATTGGATGGGTCAGAGAAACGCATTTTTGATATTTGAAGAACTTTTTTCAGAAGTGTGAAAAGAACTAAGTAAAGCTGACTTTTATCTGTTACTTTATGGATAATAATGTTCCATTTACTGCATTCTCAGTGTACCCCAGGCGTGATGCCATCTCTCTATTTTAGTTCAGAACTTAGCATTTTATCTGTTTTATAGATCTGAAAAGTTGGGTTTAGATAGAGTTACCTACTTAAGATCACACAGCAAAAATTTGACGGAGCTGCAGTTTCAGTTCAGGGTTTCTAACTGGAGTTCAGGCCTTTTACAGTGTCACCCAGTACCTGGTAAGCATGCAGGACGTAAATGGTCTTCCTTTCGTTGCGTGAACACATAGTACCGCTTTTCTGTTCTACCACTCAAAAGCATCATGTATGTTCCGCAAAGTAAAAGCATTTACTGTTCTCTGTTTTGGACGATGTGATAGGTTTAACTCAGTTTGTCTCTTTTTTTGTTTTTGTTTTGTATTTTTGAGACAAGGTCTTACAATCTAGCCCAGGCTGGCCTTGAACTCACAGTAGTTCTCCTGCTTCAGCCTCCAGAGTGCTGGGCTTATAGTCATGCGCCACCACCCCAGCTTTTAGTTTATCTTTTAATTTAATTGTTAACATGTGGCAGGGACAGCATTCACCCACCTGGTTTTCTCCTAATAGGAGCCACGGATTGGAGAAGAAGGGATGATGGGAGCTGGCTTATCACTTGAACAGTTGAGACAGCTGCAGCGATTCGATCCATCTGCTGTGCCATTACAGGACCCTGACCAGGATGCTCTTAGAGATGCCACAGCAGAAGACATGATCCGGCTGGCAAATAAGGATTGTATAGGTTTTTTTATTGCAAAATTTCTAAAATGGAAAAGCACATCAGAGAAGGATCCTCAGAAATGAAAATTCCACATCCTTGCTTTCTGTTCTATTCCCCTCATGTCTCTTAAACCAGAGTGACATCAGGCCACCTAAGGATAGTATGGTTGCCAAGGAAACAGGAGACGGTCAGTGGTTTCACCAGGACTGCCAGTGGTTTCATCAAGACAGAGAATTGTGTGTATGGGTGGGGGTTGTGAAATTATGTTCTGGATTGAAAAAATTTTTTCTAGGATTCAGTAGTGTATAAAGCAAAGGAGCTACTTATGGATGCCTGTAACATTTTCATTTGGGGTCTTGTTTTAATTAATAAAGAATAATACTAAAAATTAGTATTTAATATGGTTATGAAAAATTATTTTGTGTTCTCAAGTTTCTAAGTAGTTATTTCCTTAAGAACTAAGGCTTGGGCTGGGGATTTAACTCAGCGACATAAGAGCCTGCCTTGAAGCAGGCAGTCGTGAGTTTGATCCCTGGTACCGATAAAAACGAAAAAGACAAAAAAAAAAAAAAAAAAAAAAAAAAAAGGAAACTCTGGAAGAACTAAGGCTTGGAAAGTATAATATAATATTTACCATGTGCCAATAACTTGAGGTAAGTATTTTACTTGACTTTTTATTGTACATTAACCCTCTTTTAAATGAAGTCAGGACCTCTTCTAAATGATAGTCTTGAATCCAGAAAGTTGAATATTGTCCTTAGTTGTACATAAAAGTGAAAATCTTCCACATTTGGGTACTTTGAGCCTGTGCTGGAATGCCGAGGCAAGTTGCTAGAAAATACTCAATGAGAATGAGAAAACCAGCTTGTGACACTCACAACTGTCCCGGCACTCTCACAGCAGGGCTTGGTGTTCGTTTCTCAACAGTGCCAACCTCAGCTATGATGACTGACTATGAGAGATTAAAATCTAAGTGCAGACAAACCAAGCACATCATCCAAGCAATAAAGGGACCAAACATCCCTCCGTGGTGGCCAGTGTGTCTGTTTTTAAAACTTAATTGTAGCCTCATGCTTGTTCTTTCCTTTTCCCTGCTTTTTAGGTAAGATCTGTTAAAATATCCAGTGCAGCTATAGATTAAAGGCTATAAACACCTCAGAGTACGTTGCTGGTTTTCATTCAAGTCACCCAAGTTACTGGGCCTTGGATGTATGAAGTAGAAAGTCCGAATCAGTTACCTAATACTAGTTTAATTTCCTCTTTTCCTCATAGGTTTTCTTTAAGAACTTCTCAAATGACTTACTGTTGCCAAAAGATCAAAAGGTCTTGTACGTGATGTAAGATCCTTTGAGAGCTTTTCTGGTACACTAATCTCTGAGCTTTATTTACAGCTTTGGTACCCGTATCTTCTCCTGTCATGCCCCTTAAGACATTGTTCACCAGTCAGGCTCCTGGAGTCTCACCACCATGCTTCGAAAGCATCCTGGACGCAGAGAGCTTTAGTTTTCTATTTTTAATAGCATGAGAGAAAAGTTCCTGCGAGCTTCATGAGATTCCGATGGTTTCTCTGCATCCTTCATCCTGCCTGTACATCTTAATAAATGTCATTTGACTAAGCAGAAACTGTCTACCTGTGGGCACTTGTGTTTTCAGAGCTCAGCCTACTTCCTCAGATTTAAATGTCTTATAAGAAACTGCAGAATCTCTTTCCTTTTATGTGCTGGGCGAGGATGAAAACAGTGGGAAAGCAGCCTGGCAGCAACTTTGCGTTGTTTATTTTGGGTAAGTACCAGCAAATGTGAAGATATGAACAGTGATAGCGAACAGAAAGAGTTTGCGCATTTAAAACAAAAGAAAAAGAACCTTGTTGAAATTTTTTCTTTAACATGCTCAATTTTCAGTGAGTTTCATCGCCATTTTTAAAACAGCAGAACCACAGTAGACACTGCTTCTCTATGATCAAATGATACTTGCAGGCCTGAGACAGAGTGAGAGACCCAAGTAGTCACTTGCATCTTTTACAGCTTGAAATAGTTTTTCTGCCATAGAATCTGTTGCCTGCTCAGAAATGGTGACAAAAAGTAAACAAATTGGAAAATAAAACACGTACTCATGGAACACAGAAATGTAAAAACAAGTGCATTAAAGAGGAAAATCCAGTAAATGCGAGGAATTAATGTATGTCTCTACATTGTTTTAATATTTGTAAGAAAGCAAAAATATTTAAATTCAACAGTGAATACATTTTATCAACTCCTTGTGTTACATTTTAGTTTTCTTTTCCTTCCTTCCTTCCTTCCTTCCTTCCTTCCTTCCTTCCTTCCTTCCTTCCTTCCTTACTTTCTTTCTCTCTTTCTGTCTTTTTGAGACAAGGTCTTGCTATGCAGTTCACGCTGGCCTTGGGCACACATTGTAGTCCAGGTTGGTCTCAAAACTTGCGTATGATCCTCCTGTCTCCGCCTCCCAAGAGCTGGGATTGCAGCAGTGGGCCACCATGCCCAGCTTGTTACGTTTTAAATAGCAAAGTGCAGTACAAATAAAAATATACTTTGGCAGAAATTAAAGCTGGCCCAGAATCCATGGTAGTTGCCTGTTTTGTTTAATAGTATGCTCCTACTTTAATGGCATCATGCATCCCAAACTAGTAACAGTACATCACAGAACAGAGGGGAGAGGATGAGCTGAATGTGTCACTAGGATGGGCTTCATTTTAAAAATGAAAATTCAAAATATGAATAATTGTTGCACAGATAAGGTGGAACACGCTTACTGAAGCTCATATTTTTAAAAAATCTTTTTTTTTTTTTTTTATTTAAGAGGAAAAAGAGAAAAACACAAAACAAACCAAAGCGGCATAAGGGTACACGCAATACAGAACTACAAAACAAAACAAAACAAAACAAAACAAAAAACCATAACAGTAAGAAATTACCTGCTAGTAGATTACACACTATTTTCTTGAAAATAGTTCCTCAAATCACAGTATCAAAGAACACAAGGTGGACATTCAAACAGGGAGACTGCAAACAGCTGTGTTCAATGTTCCAAAAACATTGATAAAGTCAGCTATTTAACACCCCCAAACACACTTGCTGTTATATCCGTTAGAGCTCTTTTTCTTTTTTTTTTTTTCCCTCTCTTTTTTACAACAAAATTTACACATCTTGGATTTTATTACTCCTTAGTGCTTATTACTTTCTTTGGGGGGGGGGAAGAATACAGTCAAATATGGCAAAACAAAGCTGTCAGTCAATACCAAGGATAGACATAGCACATGGTGTAGAACAGAGTACAAGTTTATCAACAATGGTTATCAACGTTGTCCCTTGTTTCCTTAAAAAGAATTGTCTATCTTATTAGATATTATAAAGTTGGACAAAACAGTAGAGAACAAGACCAATAAAACTTAGGCATTGTAAACATTACAGGACTTCCAAAGAAGACAATAGTCAAACCAGAATGGGTATCTTAGTGAATCTTATTGTCTTCAAAGTAGTTGCCTATGTCTTCAAACTTGATACTATCATATAGAATGGAACAGAGTCTAATCAGTCAAAACAAGATCGTGGGAGTACTACAGGACTTCAAAACAAGTTAACAGGAAATCGAAAAGAGTTACTATTTATATATCCTAATTTTTTTGAATTTTTTCTTTAGTTAAGACAAACATAAGAAATGACTAAATAATTTTTTTTTGAAACAATAAGGGGGAGATTGAGATAAAACAGGACATAACAATATAACAATAGAGGTCACAGCATGACTGTTTCAGTAACCTAGTACTTCACCACTATATAACCTGACTTAATAGTAGTTACCATAGTGTCTTTTTCCTTGAAATATTTGGGTAAAACTTCATATACTCTAGCTTCAAATATTTTCATATCAAGAAGCCCAGAATAAAGCCTTTCTAATTAATGAGTGAAAACTTTATAAGGCTTCAAGGCCACCTAATGGGGAATCATGATTACCACATATTTTTATATATTTGAATCATTACTTACATTAGGGAAACTATTCGGTATTCACACATGTGAGATTGATTTATTTCACTTATGAGTATGGTCTCAAGCTGCGCCCATTTATTGATAAATATCTCAATGTGATCCTTCTTTATAGCTGAATAATACTCCATTGTATAGAAATACCACAACTTTTTTTATCCATTCCTCAGTTGATGGGCACTTGGGTTGTTTCCAAGATCTGGCGATTACAAATTGTGCTGCTATAAACATAGGTGCACATATATCACTGTGGTATGATGCTTTCAGTTCTTCTGGGAATATGCCTAGAAGTGGAATAGCTGGAATAAATGGGATTTCCAGTCCCAACTTTTTGAGAAATCTCCAGACAGATCTCCACAAAGGCTGTACCAGTCTACACTCCCACCAGCAGTGCAGGAGAGTTCCTTTTTCCCCACAGCCTCTCCAGCATTTGTTGTCGGTTTTCTTGATCCTGGCCATTCTTTCAGGAGTGAGATGGTATCTCAGTGTGGTTTTAATTTGCATTTCTCTAATGACCAATGACGATGAGCATTTTTTCATGTATTTATTTGCCATTTGCATTTCTTCATCTGAGAATTGCATATTCATCTCAGATGCCCATTTTTGGATTGGATCTTTGAATTTCGGAGGTCTGAGTTTCTTTAATTCTTTATATGTTTTAGACAAGAGGCCCTTGTCTGAGAGAGAGTTCATTAAAATCTTTTCCCAGTTTGTGGGTTTTCTTTTCACTATGCTGGAGATTTCTTTTGATATGCAGAAACTTTTTAATAAGAAGTGGTCCCAGTTATTGATTCTGGGAAGTATTTCCCGTGCGGTTTGAGTCCTGTTCATGAATTCTTTACCTACTCCTATGTCTCCAAGGTTTCTACCTATTTTGTCTTCCAATAGATTTAGTGTTTCTGTTTTAATATTCAGATCCTTGACCCATTTAGATTTTAATTTAGTACATGGTGATAGACATGGGTCTAGCTTTAGTTTTCGGCAAATGGAGAGCCAGTTTTTCCAGCACCATTTATTAAAGAGACTGTCGTTCTTCCAGTGAACCTGCTTGGCTCCTTTATCAAAAATAAGGTGGTTGAGTGTGTTCGTAGTTGTGGTTGTATCTTCTAATCTATTCCACTGATCTTCAGCTCTGTTTTGATTCCAATACCATGTTGATTTTACTACTGTTGCTTTGTAGTATAACTTCAAGTCAGGGATTGTGATGCCTCCTGCTTTGTCTTTGCTGCTTAGAATTGCCTTTGCGATTCTAGGTCTCTTCTGGTTCCAGATGAAATTTAGGAGTGATTTCTCTAGATCTATAAGGTATGTTGATGGTATTTCTATTGGGATTGCATTGAATCTGTATAACAGTTTTGGGAGAATGGCCATTTTCACAATGTTTGTTCTTCCTAT